CGGTCGATTTCTGCTCGCGAGGTGAAGGCCCGGTCGATTTCTGCTCGTGAGGTGTTCGATTTCTCCCGGAAGATGATGTTCTGAAGAAATTTTCTTGAAGATTTGCTCAGAAATAGTATAGAAAGATGAATTTTTTGTAGAATTTTTTTTGAAAAGAAAGTACATAGGCGGGGACTAAATATTTTTGGAGAGAAGAAGGGGGAAATGTGAAAATTTAGAAGGAAGTAAAAATAAAAGTGAGTTAGGGGTATAATAGTAAAAATACATGCCAAAATGGCTAAAAAAAGGATTTTTTATAAAAGGTGGCTAAAATTTGGGTTTTGTAAACTTTTATGGCTATTTAATGGTATTAACACTAGATTTTTTGCAACAAACACTATCACCTGCGAGGGTGGTAACACCAAAGAGGCTGGTAGGTTGGGGACTTTTTATTTTATGTTGGTATTAAAAGTAATCATCCAATTCTCTTAGTTATATTCGTTATTTCGATTTGTGCCAAGAAATGTTGTTTTGTGTTTATTTAAAGTTGCACTATTAAGGGGAGAAAATGTGCCTCGGGAAACAAAACTGATGGGTGGTTTGAGACCTTTTGATACAGGGAAAAGGATTCTTATACCTTCAGGGACATTATACAAAGAAAGGTAAAAAAAATATTATGTGTACTTGTTTTTGTGTGTTTTGTGGTTTGCTATTACAAAAAATAACTAAGTGTGACATTGAATGTGAAATTAAAATTACTCTTTTAGATTCGTATAAAAAATATATAGGACTTTATTTCCACGACGTATGTTTATTTTTACATTTTCTTAAATATTAGTTATAATTATACACTGAATTAGAGCTGGCTGTGCGTGCACAGCCGAACGGCCAACTAGTATATATATATAAATATAATAATATCTACCTATATACAATTCAGGAATGTGTTGTACCTAAGTGACAGGTTCACAAGATTCGGGATCTTTTGTGGCAAATTTTTAAGCTTTGGTGTTTTTTTTTTTTTTTTTCGAATGATAGAATCTTTATAAAACTAAAAACCATGTAATTCAACCAGAGATATAGCTAGAATAGCCAAACATCCAGACAATTGAATCTAGGAGGTCTGCACGGATGTAACCTAAACCACCCACAACACAACAAACTATACATCTTCCAACAGGAGAATAACACACTCCCAACAGGAGAATTAAGCTTTGTCGTTTGACTTGCATTAAAATTTATTTCCAATTCTAAAGTAATTGCGCTTTGAATATCCATAAATATACTGGATATTTATGGGTTCTTTTAGGAACATTAATTATGTTTTAATCCTATTTCCTATCAGACGTGATATATAATATATAAATTTTTTCCATTCTTTATTTTAAAATTATAAAAAAATGACTAACTTAAATTATAAATATATTTGATGTTAATAAGTTGTTTATATATTAACAAACCTTATATATAAGTATATTATATTATATCAAACTATCATGTTTTGATGAGCTTCTATTTGACATCTATATTATACACACAAAATAAATAAATAATCTTATTTATCTTTATAATTAAAATTAAATTATCTCTTAATATTAACTCAAAAAGATAAAATTATTTAAACCAATTCTACAAAGCAGTTATTTGTTAAATTAAAAAAGATTATAATATAATATGAGAAGTACTTTAAATGACGGTATCATTTTAATTATAAATAATAATAATACGTTTTTCAAAAAAAATATTTTAACACTAAAAAAATAGTTGTTATTAATGTGTTCTCGCACCTCGAACCGATCTTCCACTGATCCTCGACCGCTTGCTCCCCGGAGGCCTGCTACTAATGCATTAACTGGGCCGAGCTACTAATACTCTTACTGGGTCGAGATCTTAGCTACGATGGACCTGTAGATTGAGCTAGTCACCCCAGTTTACTGAGCTATTCTTATGTGTTATATCAATTATTACTATTTAATTTTAAATATAATTTTCTTTTATATTAATCTGTATAGTACACGAGTATTATACTAACTAAAGTATAAATGTAGAAAAAAAAACCAAAAAAAAAAAAAAA